CCTATATAGAGCGTCTACCGACGCTCTGATTAAGATTTTATTAGGTTCCAACACCGTAACAGTACCTGGCCTTCTTTAGTCTCAGTCTGCCAGAACCACCTTCCATATACACATTGACTAGATTTCTCTTGCTGTTTGTGATAGAATTGAGAATCTCAAGGAAGGAACCAAAAGACTATGAAGCTCTTCCCTCTCTATACACTGATAATGAGGACTCTTGAAGATGTTACTAAGATTGTGTTTACGTGTGCATGAAGACTTGTTATCACTTTATGGGAGTAACTATTTTTTTAGGTTCCAACACCGTAACAGTACCGGCCTTCTTATTCTCAGTCTGCCAGAACCACCTTCATATATTGACTAGCTTTCTCTTGCTGTTTGTCATTACACTAGGTGTGATAGAATTGAGAATCTCAAGAAAGGAACCAAAGGACTATCAAGCTCTTCCCTCTCTATAAACTGATAATGAGGACTCGAAGATGTTACTAAGTGTGTGTTACGTGTGCATGAAGACTTGTTATCACTTTATGGGAGTAACTATTTTGAATGTGTGTGGATAATAAAATAATTTTGTGAATACTGCTCTTTGTTACCCCATTAAGCAAAGTTTTCATGATCCAAACGGGGTTCTTGAACACACAGTGAGAGGTGCATACAGGGCACCAATAGAAGGTCCGAGGCATGCTCCCCAGTTTCTCTGACATCGAGTATACTACATTAATTGCAGGATTATGTGAGGTGTTATCACCTAGTAGCCCGATACAAGAAGTAGAGTCCAGCAAAGAAGCGATACTTGTCCTTGAAAGAGCTCTGGAATGCATCAAGGAACTGTATTGGCATCATCCTCCAGAGAATGGTGACCGGTTTTGTCTCACTCTGGTTGCAGTGACCAAACAGCTTGAACACCAGTGGGTAGGACACAAGCAGAAGTGGTGGGATTATGATCATGAAGATAAAAACAAGGATTGCAGCAATGGCACATGGGATATGTTCTCCTTTGAAATAGGCCAATTGTCCAGCCAGATGCACAACCTTTACTTCTCACAGCTATTAACCCTTAGCAAACTGCAGGCATATTATGCCCAGAGCCTCCATAAGTCCATAAGAATTTATATATGGCTATAATACTAGGCGTTAATATGTTATACACCAATTTCTTCTTTTTAAAGGAGATTCCCATGGCATCCAAAGGGTTAACTATGGGCACGGCAGTGTAGCTACTCAGAAAGCACATGACTGTGGCACCACATAGGCAACAAAACCAGTACATTGTTGGCTCAATTAAGCATGGGGGAGGCTGCAAGCGTGGCACCTGCAGTGGATTCCATAGCCAGAGGTTACTATGATAGCAAATTATGTACATTGTTGACTCAATGAGCATGGAAGGGAAGGAATACTTGAGAACAAGCTCTGTACACAGATGGTTGTCCCAGCAAAATGTTTTAGCCAGGGTAGAAGTAGCTGCATTATCAGTATAAAACCTATTTTCTCTTCCCGAATCTTTCACCGGCACTCTGCATTAATATTGATCCAAGCTATAATAGTACATTGGAGCAGCTTGGATTCAGAATTTTTTCCTAGGTTCCAACACCGTAACAGTGCCTGGCCTTCTTTAGTCTCAGTCTGCCAGAACCACCTTCCATACATTGATTAGCTTTCTCTTGCTGTTTGTGATAGAATTGAGAATCTCAAGGAAGAAACCGAAGGACTAAGAAGCTCTTCCCTCTCTATACACTGATAATGAGGACTCTTGAAGATGTTACTAATGAAGTGTTTGTGTTTACGTGTGCATGAAGACTTGTTATCACTTTATGGGAGTAATTTTGAACATGTGCGGATAAACAAATTTTTTTTGTGTATACTGCTCTTTGTTAGCTACCCCATCAAGCAAAAGTTTCATGATCCAAACGGGGTTCTTGAACACACAGTGAGAGGTGCATACAGGGCACCAATAGAAGGTCCGAGGCATGCTCCCCAGTTTCTCTGACATCGAGTATACTACAATTGCAGGATTATGTGAGGTGTTATCACCTAGTAGCCTCATTCCACCAGAGCACCTCAGATCCCTTAGCAGACTCTTTTGGTATCCAAATTTTAGCCCGTAGCTACTGAGCCTATCTATAACTGAGACTGATAACTCATTGTCCACCGTACCATTTGCATTATAATAGAGTCGGTGAGCTAACACTGAGTATTTCAGCTTATCATACAAACCAAGTGTCTCTCAGTTACAGAGCATCCTGTAGTGTATAATGAACACACATAGCTATATAACAACATCTATATACAGCTATTAAGCAAATTTTAGTGTGATATGTTACTTCTCCATTGAGATTTCTCTATCAATCTGCAGAGAGGGAAGAGCTTCATAGTCCTTCAGCTTCTTCCTTGAGAGTTTCCATTTTATTACACCCAGTGTGATGCCAAGCAGCAGAGGTAAGATGATTAAAAAGGCCTGGGTCACTGCCAATGCATTAGTGATCACCTCAGAGCTAAAACGACCCCAAACTTCTGTCCTGTAATAGTAGTAGAGGGTGATGGCATTGATGAGGGAGAGGTTTGCAAAGAGAAGGGAGTCCACAATGTTATGCTTTCTTTCCTTGTGAGGTTGGATGACGGAATGAACAGTAATGATAGCGATCAGCAGCAGCTGAACAGCAGAATAGAACTCTAGCCATGTCTGGCAGCAAACATACAGAGCAAGAATGGCAGCACGATACAGGAAGTAGAGACCAGCAAAGAAGCGATACTTGTCCTTGAAGGAGCTCTGGAATGTGTCAAGGAACTGTATTGGCATCATCCTCCAGAGAATGGTGACCGGTTTTGTCTCACTCAGGTTGCAGTGACCAAACAGCTTGAACACCAGTGGGTAGGACACTAGCAGAAGAGGTGGGATTATGATCATGAAGAAAAAAACAAGGATTGCAGCAATGGCATATGGAACATGTTCTCCTTCAAAATAGGTCAAGTGTCCAGCCAGAGGCACAACCTTTACTCTGCAGTGAAAGTTAGCTGAATAGAGACACGAGAAGTTCAGGATATGGAAGGTGGTTCTAGCAGCCTGAGAGTAGCATAGAACGAAAAATGCGGAGAGGCCATGTATTAAAACACTGGTATGACGCTTAAACCTATAAAATATCTTTGTGTGTACATATCGATGTCTGGTGATAATTATCGTCAGCAGAACAAGAGCTAGTGCAAATCCAACTGTGAGATAATTCATCACCATTCCTCCCATGAATGTAGCTCCTTTCCAGAGACAAAAGGATAAGCTCTCTAAGGCAAAGAAGTTCAGATTAAAGGGCCTGTATGGAAATGTTACACTGTCTTGAATAAACTTAGTAGCAGGAGAAAATTGTATAGCGTCATTACTATTGAAAGCGAGGGAACCCAGTAGCTGGCCATAGAGTACAAAGCAGTTGGCGTTCCCAGTTGTGAAACTGATATTTAAGACTAGGATAACAGTGAAAAACATTGTAAGTGGAAGTAGGTCAGACAGTATGTAGAACAACCAACCAAAGTGACACAGATGCTCAGAGCCACACGTTCGCTTGAAAGAGTTGTGATACATTGAGCGACCAGGGGAACACTCACCACATAGCCTGTTAGTTCTGTTTGGACCACAAATGTCAGAGTCCAATAGGTACGAGGAATTAGGAAGCACATGAAGGTGTTCCCCAGGGTTAATCTTACTGTAGGAACAATATCCACTAGGGCAGATCGTTGTGCAAAGATTACTCCCATTTCTTGTGCAATTGCCGATCCAGTATCCCTGTCTGAGATAAACTTTCGGATCACATCCTACCAAACCCAAGTATTTGATTGAAGCGCATTCACATTTTGAGCTTACTGTGTTAAAGTGGTACCCTGGTTGGCAGTCGACAAGCCTAATAGTTAATGAAACAAATACATCAGCTGTGTACAACTGTAACTCAGCTGTAGAGCCCTCTTTACCTTTGACCATTACTGTGTTGTTTGAAACCTCCTTGAACGCCGAATCGATTGTGATATTTGCAGGTCCTATCACTGAGGCTGCATACACAATACCAGTAAGAGTAGTGTTCGTTTCATCTAAAACATCGAGGTTAAGATAATGCTCCGTCCCTGCTATTAACTCTACTGGATTCCGTTCTTTCAGATAAAAATTCTTTGGTTGTGTAGACAAGGGTGAGTCTGTCTCATCAAAAGTGAAATTGGCAATGCACTGCATAATATCTGTTGGGGGTTTTGGTACATCAATGCCACCACATAAATTTTGACATGATTGAAATGTAGTTGTAAATATTGAATCTCCATTACCGTTTGCAGAGTTGTCCATGAAAATGAATGTTGAATTGACTCTGGAGAAATCTGGTGAAGATATGAAGCAGTTGTAATAAGCTGTGTAGGTAGCAGCATTAAAGTCAAAGTATATGGCACCTCCTCTTGAGATTGCTCTGTTGTCAGTGAGTAAGAAGGTAGAGCTATTCCTTACTTGGAGCATTGAAGAACCATGCATTGCAATAGCTCCACCATTGTGTGAGGTGTTATTGAAAAAGGTGACATTTGATTCCTCTGCAAAATCTATTACACTGCTTGATAGGTCAATTGCAGAGCCACTGTTGTAACCAAAATATGATCTCCCAGCAAACATCACCCTCACCTGACTGATATGCAATGCACCATGACCACTAGATTTTACATTCACTCCAATGCCTTCTGCCATGGGTGGTTCCAGTTTCTGAATGGCAGAGTTTGATTCAAACCTGCAGTCCGTGAACTTGGGAACTGGTAGGTAACCTTCTTTGGTATAGTCCCAGATAGCAGGAGTGATAAACACTGCAGCCCCCATGGCAGACTCATTCTCAATCCAGTTACAATTCGAGAACGAAATTGTGGTAGAAAACGAAACATTTCCATTCTTAGCTACAGTTATGGCTGTTCCACCACCCATACTTCCTCTATTGCCCTGAAATGTAGAGAAATGACACTCAAATGTATTGTTTAGAGGTATCTGTCCATGAATGCGTGCTTGAGAGTAGAACATGAAGTCAACTAAAAGTCCACCTCCAGATGAAAACTGATTCTGTGTACACGTGTTTTCTACAAAATCCGTTTCAACAACTGTGACATTGTTGTGTGTCACAGAGTTGAAGAATTCAACGATCATTCCTCCTGCATTAACACTGGCCTTGTTACTCTTGAAAGTACATTGAGAAATGAGGAAAGAGTTGTTTGTTGCATCTAAACCAAAGCTAACGTATAGCCCTCCACCTTTTCCAAGCCTTGGAAAAGAGAGCTGTTGTGATGGTGGTACAAAGTTTTTCACTTGTTGATTGGTGTATGCTGAATTTTTGATGAATTTGCAATTGGAGATGGCATACCTGCTGTTGTGATTGCAGTTAGTTTCACTTTCATGTATACCTGGTAAACAAGTTGTGAAATCTATGTACAAGCCACCACCTCCTGACGTAGTAGTGCTCGGATTAGCCACACTGTTGTTGATGAAGTTGCAATCCATTATTTCAACGACTCCATTAGTGTTGTAGATGGAAAGCCCTGTGCCATTCGATAAGATAATGTCCACATTATGGATCGACATGTTACTACAGTCGAGCACATAAACAGCAACAGGGAGGTAATGATAGTGAATATTGCAGGGTTGAGGGGCTCCACAGTTTTGCACAGTGAAGGAGAATATTGACAGATTCACCACTCGAACAAATGCTAGTCCAGCATCTGATTCATTGCAGTGAAGTGTGGTGCTACTTCCAGAGCCACTGATGGTGAGATTAAAGTAGTCAGTGAAGTTCACAGCTCTTGTCAAGTTCAGCACATCACCCAAAATTTCAATGACTACAAAGTGTTTCTGAGTCAGATTCTTGGATACAAATGAGAGAGACTGACATGGAGTCTCAATGGAACTGGAATTCAAACACTCTAGACTGTCATTTCCCTCAGCTCCATCAATGTACACCCTCAGTGGCTGAACCAGAGACTGACTGGAGAGAATCAGCAGTAACAGACTGAGATGTAGAAGGCCCATTCTCCTGCTGGACTGGCTAAGTCTGTGGTTTTTTGCTTGCCATATATTTTGCTCAACTGGACAGTGTTTTACTTCAGTGTTTGTTTTGTGTGAAAGGGTTAAACCCAGTTGTTTTACATTAATAGTTTCAAAGTCAATACTTTCACCGTTTTACGAATTTGTATATACAACTTCCCCAGTTGTTTTGAAAGAAAGACACATCGAATAGGTCCTTGGTGTGACTTTGGATTTAACCAGACACCGACTGGAGAGATATGTTATCACCAGGAAAAACGTAAGCTTTAAGCAGAGCATTTTCAACTGGGTAGCTACTAGAGACTCTCTCTGGTGTTTGTCCCTTGTTTTTACATCAATGTTGTTCTTGAATAACTGGTAGGTGGTTGACTTTCACTGCTAAATCTTCCACAGGCCATTCAGCCTTTAGAAAGCTTAAAAAACAGCGAATTCTCTCAGGGAATACTGTTATGTTTTAGCTTAGCCCAGGGTCTCTTTCCTCCTCACCCAGATAGTACATATATAGTTGCCGTATAACTGTGGTTCAGTAGTTGGAGAGCCAGTGAGAGTGAAGCTCTTATCCAAAAAAAAACTAAACCCAGCCCATCAATAATGAAACAAAAAGCAAAACAAACCAAATGGCAAAACAAAAAAAAGGATAAAACAAAATAGGAAAAAGAAAAGACAAAGAACAGGGAAAAAAAAGAAAACAAAAAGATATATCTAATTATGAGAGTGATGGTGAAACAGAAGGGACAACGTAATTGCACAAAGCAAAGCATATACAACTCTTAACAATTATATACCACATGCAGGACAGGACATTTTTTAGCGAGTGATGTATATACTGTAATGTTGTATGTAGATTAGAACTGCTAAAGAAGTGTTGCATTCGGTCAAGTATATTCAGTTGTCACCTTTGGTTGTTTGTGGTCAAAAAACACACATTATATATACACAATTTAATCCACACTTGCAAACATGCAGATGTGTAAAAAAGCAGAGGGACCAACACCCTATGCACAGCCTTATATAATTTACACACACACACAAAAGAGTTCATGTAGGGTTGCTCTTAGAAAGGCCAGGTGCTCGGTCAGTGCCCATCGCCATTTTCAAAGAGAGCCGGTTCCGGTGGACCAGAGGCATACGCAATAGGGTCAGTGTTCTCCCCTGCACCCTCAAAGGTCTCCCCTAAACATCCTGGCCTCGGTTTCGTCTGCGCGTGCATGAGAGGAACAACAAAGACGGTGATGTCGTCTCCGCTGGCTATCTGTTCCTTGGCAGTCCGCCAGCCTTTCTTCCCGAGTGTCCCCCTAGCTGCCAGGACCAGGTTGTGCGCAATGGCGGTATAGATTCTGTCCGACTTGTCGTCCTTCTCTTCCTCGAAGTCTCGGAAAGTCTGCTGGACGCACTCCAGCGCCTCTTCGTTGGTGAGTCTCTCCCACAGTCCGTCCGATGCCATTATGAACACCTCTCTCTCGGTGTACTTGTGGGTCGAGAGTTCGTGGACTCTGACCTCTGGGATCGGAGTGAGGAAGGGTTTGATCCACTGTCCGCCGGGCGCCTCTAGATCGTGGTCTCCGAAACCTCGAGTGGTACCGATGGTGGCCATGAGGCGGGCCCTCTTCCCGTGGCCAATTATCATGGGGACTCGGTTCACGTCGTCACCAGAGACAATGCGGTAGGACCAACCGGACATGTGCCGGTCGCGAAACAAGACCTTCTGTCCGAGGTCCTTCTTGCGGAGCCTCCGTTGGAACTCGATGCGACCAAAGTGTTTCCCCAGTAGCTGTGGCTGGAGGAAGGCGAGCGTCTGGAGCCGTTTTCTGTCGGTCTCGGGGGTGAAGTCCATGGAGAGAGGAATTATGTCCTGCAGGTTATTGGCGACGAGGATTGACGACAGTCTCCGGCGTGGGCCACGTAGAGTTTCTGCTGGAAGAAACAGCGCTACGATAGCTGTGCAGCCTCCCTTGATGCTGTGTAGGTGGCAGCTCGCGGCGAATCTGGTCTCGTCCATCTCGGCAAACGCCTCCTCCAGCTGCCCCCTGTACCAGCAGCTCTGTGGGGATGGGCTCAGTGATGCAGCCCAGCCCAGGGTCATCCTCTGCTATCACCTCGGCTGCTGTAGAGCCAGAAAGTGCTTACGGCGCCCAGTTTCTCTCTGATGTGTATGTGCATCGTGTGAGCGGCTTGTCAGGGCCGCCCCAGTCCCCGCGTGCCCGTCGAAGATGCAGAACAAAGTGTAGGGGATGTGGCCACGGTCTTGTCTGGACCAGCGCCAGGGACGTGGAGGGAGCCAATGTGCATGGCGGCCTGGTCCTCATTGTTAGAGGCTCTTGCCGAGTTTATCGTCTCGGAGGTAGCCGTCGCTACAAGGCATTCGGGACGGGGTCGCTGGGCGTAAGGATGAGTCAGTGGCAGTGGTATTGGCGGCAACGTCTGCATGCTTCTGAGTTTATAGACAGGAAACGGGGCGGGCACACTAGTACTTCGAGGGGGAGTTGGAGAGGGGAGGGATGTGTTACCTCCAACATAAGGAAGAAGACGAACAGAGAGAGGCGGAAAGAAGCGAGAGAAGAAAAGAGAGAGGAAAAGAGAGAAAGAGAGAGTAGGAGAAAGAGCCAAGCGGAGAGGAGAAGAGAGAAAGAAGCGACGGGAGGACGGGAAAGGAAGAGTGAGAGAAGAGAAGAGAGAAAGCGGCGGAAAGGATGAGAAAAGAGAGAAGAGAAAGAGAGATACGGGGAGGGAAGAGAGGAAGAAAACAAGACGAGAAAAAGAGTAGACAAGGAAGAGAGAGGGGAGAAAGAGAGGAAAGGAAAAAAGAGAAAGAAAGAAGAAAGGAAGGGAGGGAGAAGAAAGAGAAGCAAGAAGAGAAGAAGAAGAGGAAAGAGAGAGAAGACGAGGGAAAGAAAGGGAAGAGAAAAAGGGAAAGGAAAGAGGAGAAGGGAGAAAAGAGAGAATAGAGAGGCGAAAAGAAGGAGAATGGAAAAAGAAGAAAGAATGAGAGAAGTAGAGAGAAAATAAGAGTCAGAAGAGAAGAAAGAGAGGAGAATAGAAGACATGGGGAAGAGAAAGGAGGGGAGAAGAAGAGGGAAGAGAGGGAGAGAAGAGGAAGAGCAGAAAGAAGCAAGAGAGAAAGGAAAAGAAAGAAACGAACAAAGAGAAAGAAAAAGAGAGACAAAAAAAGAAAAGAAGAGAAGAGGAAAGAAGAGCAGAGAAAAGAACGAAGAGAGGGGAGGGAGAAAGACAGGAACCGAAAGGAGAAAGAGAAAAAAGAAGAGAGAGAGAAGAGAAAGAGGAGAGGAAAAAAACAAAACCAAAAAAAAAAAAAAAAAAAAACAAGGGGAAGAAAGGAACAGGAACCAAGAGGAGAAAAGCAGAAGAGAAAAAAGGAAGACCAGAGAGAAAGAGGGACGAGAGAGAAGAAAGGAGCGAGAGAACACAAAAAAAAAAAAAAAAACAAGAAGAGACAGGAAAAGAGAAGAAGAGAGAGGGAAGAAAGAAGGAGAAGAGAGAAGAAAGGAGAAAGAAGAAGAGAGAAGAAAGAGAAGGAGAAAAAGGAAGGCGAAGGAAGCTGTACCTGACTGTTGCCTTCGCCTGGCCCTTGGCTCAGGGGGTGCGGGGATTGGCGAAAGAGGAGGAGGCAGGAGAGGAAGAGAGGAGGGGCAACGGGGAGCGCCAAGAAGGCGAGAGGAAAGGAGAAGAGATAGAAGGAGTAAGAGCGAGCCGGGGGAAGAAAAAGGGGAAAGCGATAAAGAAGAAGGGTGAGAGGAGAAGAAACAAAGAAGAACAAGCAGGAGAAGGGGAGAGAGTGGAGCGTATCAGGTAAGAAAGGCCGCACGAGCGCACGAAAAGGGAGTAAGAGGTGAGGGGGAAGGGAGAAGAAGAGAGAAGAAGAGAGCGAAGGCCAGAGAGGTAGAGAGCAAGAGAAGGAGAGAGGAAGAAGAGAAGAGAGAGGAAAGAAGCGAGAGACGCACCGCGAGAAGGGTAAGTGCAAGACGAGAGGAAGAGACAAAGAAAGAGGGGTGGGGTAGGGGGGGGAAGAGAACGAGGAGGAGACGAAGAGAGGCACGAGAGGAGAGAGGAGAAGGAGACGAGAAGAAAGAGGCAGGGAAAAGAGAAAGGAAGAGAGAGAGAGAAGAAGAAGGAGAGAAAAGAGCGGAGAGAAGAGCAAAGAGAAGGAGAAGAGAAAGAGCAGGAGAGGAGAGGAGGGAGGAGAACGAGAAAGGAGGAAAGGAGACCAGAAGAAAGAAGAGAAAAAAGAGGAGAAGAGAAGAGGGCGGAAGAAAGCGAAGAGAGAAGAAAAGAGGAAAGAGGAGAAAGGAGAGAGAATAGAGAGAGAGAGAAGAAAGAGAGACAGAGAGGGAGAGAAAGAGAGGGGTGAAAGAGAGAGGAAAAACGAGAGAGAAAAGAAGAAAGAGAAGAAGAGAGAGAAGAGAGGGGTTAAGAGAGCGAGGGAAAGAGAAAAGCGAACAAAGAGGAGGAAGAGAAGACCAGAGGCACCGGAGAAGGAGGCGGAGGTGAGCAGAAGAGGCGCGGACGTCGAAGTCCCTATACCGTCTCACTGTTGGCTATCCGTCGGCTCCTTTATCCTATCTCCCCTTCTCCCTT